GACACCTACCTCGACAATGCAGGTGTCTCAGGTGGCCCAGATAAACTTTTTATTTTATTAGTATCATTGATTGGTGAAACGTTTTTTTACGATTTGTTTGAGGACAACTTCGTCTATTTTATGCGCCGTTGACGTATGATTTCTGTAACATTGGAATATGTCGCTGTCGTTGTTGTTTTTGAATATATTGCTATCTTGCTGTACGTAGTCTTTGTTGAATGGTGTTCTCAATGGATGATATTTTTTAACCATTGCATACCCGCGGATTAATAGTTCTTTTCAGTTCCGTATTGCGATCCTCAGTTGAGGATGAATGCGTGAATGCACGGTTTACAAAGAATTTTATTGTACTTATTTTGAATTGTTCCGTGCATTCGCTTAGCCTATTTAAACAAATACATACATTTGAAAGTTGTAAATCTGTGTTCGTCATGCGTTACTGAAACATCCAGAAATATGGCAATAAATTTTCACTCTCCTGCTTGATAGTGAAATTCAATTTTGATCGGTTTATTGTTGATAGAAGTTAGTTGACTTGTTCCGGATCATCGTATGCGATGGATATATATATATATATATATATATATATATATATTCATCGCATTTTGATCAAGTCCCAACGTGGTTCTATTAAACGGTTTCCACTGTCTTTACTTAGAGGTTCTTAACTAGTGTAGATAAATTTGGTGAAATATATTAAAGCGTTTAGTTTCAAGGTGTTTTAGAAACTTTGCAAGTTGTAATTACATTTTTTGTTTCAAAATACGAGAAAAATTCCTTTTTTTTCTAGAAAGTGAATAACAAAATAATGGCAGACATGAATTGATGAAGAGTTGTAAGAACAAAGAGCTGTCCTCGGTTGAATGGACTCAAGTGCTGATGGAAATTCAATGAATGCACCGCAAAGAAATATTCTTCCGCAACGTTTCTCACGAGACGTTTACTGTCATTAAAAACAATCGAACTTCTTTCCTCGCGCAGCCACTTATCCACACACACCACACCAGACCACACACGCCACACAAGACAACACATACTACGCCACACATAACTTGCACACACGCGTAAGAATGCACGTGGTAATAATTTTTATTGTACTACAACTCATCGAAATCCAGATTAGCAGAAGCGAAGATAATTTATAAGTTCTTCGTACGGTCATCATGTGTCATTGCGAGGTGACACACGACATCAAGACGCCCCCCCCGCCCCTCATACGTCAATCATCTAATTATTCAAAAACTGTAGCAATGATTTTGGAAGGTACGGAAACAAATTATTAAATAAAATATGAAATTTTTATATAAGTTCAATACGAGCGGGAAAGTGTGTAAAAATGAATTAAATTTTTTGCATTTGTTTTCAAGTTTAATTGATTCATTTGATGTGGTGCCCCAGCAAACAAAGTAATAGTTGAGAGATTTTGTTGGCTTCAAATGAAAACAATTTTTGTTTTTTTAAAAGACTATTTTAAAATATTTCAAAACAAAGAAAAAAATTTAAAAAAGATGAAAAACGAAATGAAATTGGTGATTATCTGTCTTTGAAAGATGTCACAAGATCCATTATAACAAGGTCGTAAGGTGGCATAGCATGGAACATCATTTGTTTACTCACACCATTCATTCATTCGTACTTTCGTTCGTTCGTTCGTTCTTCATTCATTCATTCATTCATTCATTCATTCACTCACTCACTCACTCATTCACTCACTCACTCACTCACTCACTCACTCACTCACTCACTCACTCACTCACTCACTCATTCATTCATTCATTCATTCACTCACTCATTCATTCATTCATTCACTCACTCACTCACTCATTCATTCATTTTTTATCACTATTTTCTATTTGTCCATTGAACGTTTAAGGTTTTATGTTGTACGCTGAATGTTGCTATGTTGATTGCTCTATCTTTTATAAAGTGTGTTGAATGCGCTGTGACATGTTGCTTGAGGGATGTTTATAATGTTGAACTGCATGATAAATACTGTATAATGGTTGCTGTGAAATACGCTATAAGATATGTCATGTTCAGTGAAATAATGTTCTAATCGAAGTTGTAGGTTAAAATATTTTGTTACTTCTTGCATGTGTGATAGTTGAAAATTATGTTGTGTGTTTTATGATCATTGAATGTTGAACGTTATATACAGGTTTTAATGTTAAATGTATTAAGTTTTATGTTGAACAATGTTGTTTTGTGTTGTTCAGTACTGACTGTTCTTCTTAATGGATATAACATGTGTGTTTTTTTCTAAAAATTATGCAACTTGGATGAATTTGAAAAAGGTTTTATTGCAAACATGAATAATGAATCAAAAAACACAAAAAAGGTTTATACGTTTCAAAGCCAGCAACGAGACAACAACATTTTATTTCATTATTTTTTAAGTAGGTTTTAAATTGCACCAAAATCTAAAAACTCTCTCCCACTCTTTCTCGTGCCTTATCCTTTCAGGACATTGGCGACCATCGACCTCCACGAAACTCGATCTTTAACACTTTGTAGTAGTTGAGATGTGGTGATATTCAACAAGTGACACAAGGACTTCACGAATGGTATTCGTTGTTGACCGCGATGTCTTTTCTCTGCAATCTTTCCAGTAGTTGTTAGATTTTCCATTCTTTCCTTCCGCATGATGTGACCAAAAAACTTTAACTGCCCCTGTCGAATTATCTGTAGTAGTTTTATTTATCCATAACCGGACTGTTTTAATAAATTCTCATTGGAGGTATGAAAGGTCCAACTAATTTTCAAAATTCTTCTCAAAAACCACATCTCAGCAGCATTAATCTATTTTTTCATTTTTTTAGAAATTGTCCAATGTCAAATTTAACAAGGCATTTAACTTCTTCGACAACCATTTCATCTGGACCTGGCGCTTTATTTGATTTCAATCTCGAAAAAACAGCACGAACTTCAGGTCTAAGTATCTTTGGTCCTTCTACGTCTTAATTAATACATCCATGACTCTGAATGTAGTCAATGGTTCTTTAATTTTTTAACCACGTGATTACTATCAATAGGTGATGATTTTTTAGTTCAGCGCTATATTATTTTGCTAGTAAACAATAAGAAAATCAAAACTAGATTCATTGATTAATCATTTGAATAGAAGTAAAACTTCAACGGAATAGTAATCAGCAGCAAATACGGCAGCAATTTAGCACCGGAAACTCAACAACAACAACAACAACGACACAGTTACACAACTATTGCAACTGAAAGACCCCGCCAACAAAACAATACAACAACCACTACGACACAAAAATAAAAAACGAATAAACAAAACCAAGCTTCAAAGTCTCTCATTGCAAAAGTGTACAACAAATTCTCTTTGAAAAAAAAAACGAAATGAGATTCTGTGCTTCTATGCATCATCTCATAATCTGAGGTAATAAAAAATGCAAACGATTTTCACATTAACTCATTAGAGCACTTGCATTATTTTCCAAGCAGATCCATTTTATGGAGGCTTTGTTTTGTGACGACATTGAAATGGGCTTTATACTAATTCAAAACACTCTTTTCTATTTATTACACTAAAGTTTCAAAGTTATTTCTAAATCAATCTACAATTTTTAATTATGTCAAATTTTGACAGAAACAGATTTTTATCAACGATTTTTTCAATTTACGCCATAAAGAACATCTTTTAAATTAATGTTATTCATTAATTCAACAAATATTATTAATTTTGTTATAAATACAAAGTAAATTATATTAAAGTTTTAAAAAAGTTACACAAATACAAGAGAACTTAATAAAATAGTAAATTTTTGGTGACTTTCGTTTATTTGTTCAATCGAAGAAGTGTCGATTCATGGGCACCGACATATTGAAAAACCTGTCAGAGAGTTTCAATCGAATCCCGTAATTAAATTTGTCGTTGGTCAACAAAAGCAACAACAATTATGAATAAATTAAAAAAATTGAATTTATGACATTATCAAATCGAATCCAGCAGAAACAATCAATCATGTTGGTCTCATTGAATCCATGAGGTTTAATTATTTAAAGCATCAACCATCCGATCCAGCATGCAGGATTTAAATAGTTTTATTCACCAGTGGTCAAACATTACGCAGGTTACCTACCTACAATGAATTCCCATTCTAATATAAAAATTTGAAAAAAAATCAGATTAATTTATAAAATATTCAAGGCAGGCTTTCCATTAAATGTAGCAATAAATGTTCCTCGCAAATCGGCCATGAAGTCACGTAGGAGTCACATAGGTGATGCCGCTAACGTGCTGAACGTCTTCTTTTTAAAGAAGAAAAAACTTTTCAAGATTTTTTTTAGATCTTTAAAAAAGCAGGATTCCACGCAGCAATGAAGAGAACTAATTCCAGTCTTTTTACTGACACAAAAACAAACATGCCAAAAGAACAAAAAACCAACCAGTGTAAAAATGTAATAAAAAAATTATAAAAATAATTTATAAAATCATCCATAGGAGCAAATCATCAAAATGAGGCAGACCTAATAAATAAAACCAAAAAAACGACAAGCATAAAAAAGCAAATACATGAGATCTGCAAAAATAAAAAATGAAAGAGAACAAAAAAAACAAAACAAAACTACATATTATCATTCTATAAAGTGCACCCTGAATCGATCCCGATCTCATCCGCCACCACACAACGTCAGTCATGCATATTGCACGTCCCACCCTTGGGAAAGCCAGCTCACACAGAACGGACCGACAACCTATCACTGATCAATTTTTTGAGACATACTAGGGCTAAAAAATTAGACCTTTTTTAAATTCTAATTTCTCATTTTGATTTGGAATATGTTTTAACTTCATTTTTTTTCAACACAAATATTAATCAATTCGTTTTGAGAATTTCTTCAATTTAAGCAAGTTAAATTTGCGTTAGGAAATTTTCAAATGTAACCACAATGAGATTTATTATTTTAAAATTAGTTTATAAATTTGTGTTGATATTTAAAAAATACAAATAATTATCATGACGACGACGAGGAGAATGTCGATGATGATGGTGGTGGCTGTGATGTAAAGATTATGAGTGACAATGGACATTGCGATGATGATGATGATGATAATAATATAATTTTCAAAATGACCCCGTAGTGGTGCAACTGCAGTGACGAAATGGCTGAAAGTTTCCTGTGATGAATCTGTTGCACCGTTGGATAGGACGGTCAGTAAGATTGAGGCTGGAATGATCAGCACGATCGATCAACCTGCAATCTTCTTCATCGTCGCTGCTAATTCTCCAGGAATTAAAAATAGTATGATGCCGACATGTAGAAATGAAGACGACGTTTGAAATTTTAAAAGATGTTCATTTGTTTAATTAACATTCAATATTATGGATTGTAGCTTTTGAATTATTTCTTCGAAAACGAACAAGTTGACGGAAATTTAATTAAAATTTGCACCTACATTATCGTTGCGTGTCTTCGTGGAACTCAGCAGCAAATTTTTAATTAGTTCCTCGTAGGAACTTCAATGTTTAAACAAACTTCAAAACACGCACAATCTCAAAGACGTTGCTCAAACTGACTCACATTATCACTTTACACACAAAACCACTATCCTCACCTAAGTCAACGAGATAACGAATCGAAACATGAAACATCACACGCCTCATTGATTACATTTCGACGCAACACAAGCAACACAACGTTCAAGCCTGTCAGATCTCAGGCGGTAGCAGCAGTCGTTATTTAACGACCAGCATTAGTGCCTGATTCTTTCGTCAGATACATAGATGCTTCCGCTGAAAATTTTCATTAACCAACAACATGCGTCGTCCAGTAGCGGCCTGGAGAATTTAAATTTATTGCAAAGTTCAACTCAACCTGTCAATGTTGTTTTGGACTTTGATTTTTCACAGAAAAAGTTTAAATTTCCCATCTAAAGTTCAACGGCGCTTCAAAACATCGTTCACTCATGTCAACATGTTATCCATGAACGTTTGATTTGTTCATTTGATTTTGTAAAATAATTTTCTCAGAAATCTTGCTCTGTCTGAAAGGTACTTTGACTTTGAATGCAAAAAGTTATCTCATCACATTTTTTATCGCATTTCCAGCCAAACGATGCAAAACTACTTTAAATCGCCAGTTCGCGAGACCGTGTGCGTGTGTGTGTGTTTGTATGCGTGTATGCGTTGCTCTGTAGTATTTCGTTTTATTTTTGTTTGTGCACGCTGTCTGATAGAAAATAATTTAAATAACAACACTATTTAAATAGTTTATTCTATAAAGTTGAACAGTCCTGCCTGTCGCAGCAAAACTGTTTCGCAACATACTACTGATACGGACTATCAAACAAATACGCTCATTGTATTTACATGTAGTTGAAGTGGATCTGATCTGGACAACTTGAAATATAAACTGATTAAATTTGTAAATATAATAACTTATACAAGTGTGGAATCCCGAATTTCAATTTTCTCTGCATTGATTAATGCGTCATCTAAGAGGTGAAACATTTTGAAGTTTCTGATCAAGCAGAGATTGAATAATAATCTAACTCAATTTTAATGCCTTCAATATTTAATGATGGAAAATTTCGTGGAAAAGAAAATTGCTTTTGACCGTGCACGTCAGGTCAATCAACCTCCCCCCCCATATTTTCACATGAGGTTTTCTTGTTAACTTTTAAAAGATTTGTGGGTATGTTGCTTGTGCTACAGCACTCAATTTCAGTTTTTTTATTTAACAAATAAATTCAATTTTCATTGTGAACAAAAGGAAAAAAATATAAGGCAAACGACTCCTCTACCAATACATTAGATAATCTGTCTTGGTAAGAATAAAATTTTTAATTGAATTTTTCAGCTGAATTTTTAAATTGAATTTTTTAATTGAATTTTTCACATGCCAACGACGCTAAATTCTTAAAAAAATACTTGTTTCTCTGTATACCAGTATTTTATTCCTGATATTTGAATCTAGTAAATTGCTTCCATGGCTTCCGCGCGTGATTTATTGATGGAGTTCAATTTTTGTAGACTTCGTTTTCATTCCCCTATCTGATTATTTGTGGCAGTGTTTTGAAGTTGTATTCAACATTAAACGCAAGAGAACTTTTAAAAAAGCACGAATCAAATGGCCGGTAATTGAAATTGTTTTTTAAAATGAGATTGACGCCAACAGTGCAACGGGCTTGGAAGCTATTTGGATTCAGATAGTTAATTTGCATCCGTTGTCCTCAAAATAATTTAAGGATTTCCCTTATGTTTCTCATACCTTAGCAAATAATTATTGGTAGCTGTGCATGTGGGGAGTTGTGAAATGATCGATAATAATTTATTTTAACGTTTGTCATTCAATAAATTAATTTTAAATAAAAAAAAATAAATCAAAGGAGGGTCAGTCACACGATGATAAACGGTCTCCTATATATTTAACATATGAATACAATTATGTGTGTATGTGCGTGTGTGTGTGTGTGTGTGTGTGTGTGTGTGCAGTGAAAAATCCAGACAACTTTGACGTCTTTGATTGGGGGGCCAAAATTTTCGAAATGTTTCTCGATAATGGGGCCAATTTTTCAAAAAAAAATAGTTGATGACCGGAGGTGAGGGAATTTAAACAATGTTCACAATGGTTCCTTGTTAACCGGGAGGCCAACATTTTGATGGGAGAGGCCAACAAAAGTACTTTTCAGTTACTCATTCTAAATAGAAATACAGCTCACAACCGCCCCACTAGGTCTTAGGTCCACTACTGGGTTTGTGCACAAACGTGCGTGCGTGTGTGTGTAGTGACAAAAATGATTGAAAAAACTAGTTAAAACAAACCAATTAATAGTCGTAATTAGTTTGTTACTCAAACTGTATTTTCCAAGTCGCATGATGCTTTGCACCATATGATCAAATAATGGCACAATAAACAAGCAAACACGTTGCAATCCATCCATCCACCATTAGAGACACCGGCAGGTAATCTTTGAGGCAAACACACAAGCCATGCAAACTCGCATGAGCATGAAATCTACCATATTATACATATTATATTTAGTTTTAGCTTTGTAGTAATTAATATTTAAAAAAAAATTTTTTAAATTACATCCAAAGAAAAATTTTACTTTATTATTATAACTTTAAATTTGTAATTGTGATATCAGTTGTGAAGCACTTAAGTTTAATTATGCAAGCTTGGTGCATGAACAAACAACAACAACAACACACGTTTAGACGACATTTTCCCCGAGATCGGGGGTTGCCGTTTGGCTACCTATGATGAAACCGAAATACCCCTCGACACCATCCATATCTGTCACTCGCCTCAGTATCACGCAACCCCGCTTTCACCCTGTCCTTCTCCACCTGCTCTCTCCATCCCAATCGCGGACGACCCCTTCCTACCATTCCTTCAACCTCGAACTCCAACGCTCGCCTAATCCCGACCCTTTCATCCCTTCTCAACACATGTCCATACCACCGCAATCTCGATCTCCTTATCAATGTCACAATGTCCTCATTCAGTCCCATCATTGACATCAGCTCTGTACTAGTCATCCTATCCTTCACTTTAACCCCACACACCACACATCATCCTCACCATAGCTCTTTCAGCCCTCTGCAGTACACTTTCCTCCTCTCTCCTCAACACCCAAGTTTCACCACCATATACCATCGCTGCTCTCACACATGTTTTATATACCCTCCCTTTCATCTTCACTGACCATTTCTTTCCACACAGTACCCCACCCAGTTTCCTAAATTTCATCCACCCTACACGAACTCTAGCCGTAACTGCGCTCAAACATCCTCCATCCACGTTCAGTTTATCCACTAAGTAAACAAAGCTTTCCACTCTTTCAATACCACCACACAACCCCGTCCTTTCGTCCGTCCCATTAATCACACCATGAACACATTTCTTGCGTACCTTCCACCTTTTTCAGTGCCCTCCTCACACCACTACATCTCTTATGCACCCATTTCTAACATCCTTGCTTGGTTCATGAACGAATACACAAATGCGTAAAACATAATGGATGAGATTTTTCTACCCACACACAATTCAATTAACAGGAAACACAACATCCATTAAAAAAAAAACAATTTTTCATATTTTAAAAAGTTTCCTAATGAAATCACTCTATGAGTGAATGAAAGAAAATGCGCTCAACGTCAATTAATTAGAATTCACTACACGGCTACAAAAATATCTGCAAGATAAATTTTTAAATTGAAAAAATTGAACAGAGCAAGCATGAAGATGATGAAATCAATGCCGAAAAACATGCACTAACAACGTTTTAAAATTTTATGAAAACAAGAATTTTCATTTTCTAGTTTGTAATCGGTGGTGGTCATTGTTAGTTAACGATGTGAAACGATGGTGGTAACTTGAGTTAGCACGGAAAGTGTTTGAACCAAATGACAGATTTTGTTACACTTCCACCATTTTCAACTTTTTGAATAGTTTTTATGAAATTTTCATTGAAGATGAGCTGAGCACGTATGAATATTTGTTCAGAAGAGATGCTTTTAGTCTTCATATAAACAAATAAAAATACGTAAGTTCACGGGAGGCAAAGAAGCATTCAACCAAAAAGTATGCAAGTTGGCATTGGAAAAGACCAACAATGAAACTGATACTTGTGCTGTTTCAAAAAAGGAAGTGAAATCATCAACAAGAGGAAAAGATGCGATTGACGACTGTGTGCATGCCAGGAGGTGGTTCAAATGGGAGATGGCAGAAGTGCGGTGGCGTGGTGCAGGATTCTAATGCGAATGATTTCCGAATATTTCACGAGTTTTACAAGCATTACAAACGATTCGAATGTTTTTATTCCTGCTACAGAGAGTGAGCTAAAGCAATAAAATATATTAATTGCTTGTCATCCATACAGTTGTACATCTAACTAGCGCTGTTCGTTCAATTGCAATAAACATCCAATCGTTCATCTGATTTATAAGTTCATACGAGTTGCTGATTTTGTTTTAGTCCTAATATATGCAACATTTGAAAAAATCATTTTTACGACATTTTTTCTAAACTCAAGTTTTGAAAAACTCAACTCTACTGCTGTACACTGAAATCTAAAAAAAATTATTTATCAATCAAATTCTGTCGAGAAATTGCGACAGCTGCCAGTCACATTAATAAGATTAACAATAGCGCTATGCAACAGTCAACATTAAAACCGACTCTAAATCAATTTGTCATATGTATTTTATAATATCACAGAATAATTTTTTGTTTAATAATAAAATGGACATGATTTTAAAAACATCCTTTTTTAATTAAATACACTAGCAAACGCTGAAATATATAATTTTTTAAATTGAACTGACAAACTAAAATAAAAAATTAATGTTCAATATTATTTTATTATCCTACCAGCATGTTTGACTTTCAAGGACCGCTGAACATTATGAATAACATTCCCTCATTTGTTGTTTCTTCAAACCATTCTTTTTAAATTTATCACCGTTGTTTTTTAAAAGAAAGAAGTTATTTTTGTGTTTTTTAAAACTACGTTTAAATCAGCTTTAACATAGCTGCTCATATTTTTTTTTAACATTTGTTACACAGAAATCAACATGAAAGGTTGGCCGGTCACAGTCTGTTACAAACTAATCGATTTCAAACGCAACATGAATCCGCTCATTCTTTCATCAATTGAAATGCGATCATTTTTACAAGTGAAAGTAAGCGCACATTGTGTGTCTCTTGAATAGCCAAAAACGGTGATGATTGATTGCTGCTTTAATAAAGAAAAATTATCTAAATATTGGAGCAACTTTTAAAGACAAGTTATAAACGTTAATTAATCCAGCAAATGCGGTAAGCAACTCTTTTTAACAATATCAGTGGCGTAGCAAGAAATTTTTCGTAGAAAGGGCTTGAATTTGTCTTTTAAATGTCTTTTAATAACTTTACTTATTATAATGTTTCCATTAAGACCAATGTTATTTTAAGTTTAAAAAATATTGAACTTGATCGATCATTTTGCAAACTTCAATTTAAGCCATAGACGAATCACAAATCATCTAAAAATCCTTGGTGTGCATGTTCATAAATTGCAAACTCCCGCTATACATGTTTTTAAAAGTTCACTGAAGTTATTTGCATCGTAAACATTTATTTGACCGGCTGTTCTGAGATAAAAATAAAAATGTTTACAATCTCATGAAGCAGATTTATGAGAGATAGTTATGTCTTGCCTGTCCGAATCTAAATCACCCTCCTAAGACTGGCAGGGTAACTTATTTCTTCAATCCACGTAAATGGAAAAATATTTTGTATCGGATGCAAGCGATTTTTTTCAATCCCATACAACCTTGTTACATTTCATTTTTGCTTATTGCCGATGTTGACCAGTATCTCCATTTCTTAATGAACATCAAACTTAACTTTTTGTTCTGTAGAAATAATTCAAGCTTCAATTATATTTTTGTCAATTGTAGATTTAAATGCTAAGGAATACAATTGTTCCCCAGTATAATTCTCATTCTTAACCAAACTGAAAATATAAAACTCAAGCTATTTGATGCAAGAATTGATATTTTTCTGTTTTTTCAACATTTATCTATTTATCTATCTATCTATCTATGCATCCATTCATCTATCCACCCATTTATTTATGCTTTGCAATTGTTTAAATTAACAAATTTTTATTTCAAAACTTATGGACTAAAAAATAATCTGTGTTTTGTTTAATTAAAACAAATAAATGATGGTAACGATTTAAATATTGCATTCACCAAAATATAACGGATGATTATAGGCGTAAATTTACGGCTTCAAAGTTTTTTACATTTTTTATTGTAAAGACGCGTGTGAGAATCTGTTTTTCTAATTTTTTAAAATATTTCACAGGTTTTTAGTGTCAAATTTCATGGCGATGTTTTAAATTTGGTTTCAAAATACTTGGTAGGTAACACATATAAACTTTTTTTAAAATAATTTAGTGACAAAATGAAGTGTCACATCAGGCAGCATCAACAAAAAACTAAAAAACACTAAAAAATAAATGAAAAACCCCAAAAAATGTTCCAGTCAGAACTGATTTTTAAAAAAGTTATTTTTTGTCTGGGTTGCAAAAAATTATAAATCCTTTATTAGATTTGTATAGATGAGTTTATCGGCATAATTTAATAAAGAAATTGTTTCAATTTCCTGGCGTCGTTGGAAAGAATAAACTCGATTAGAGATTGAGATTGAATTGTAACTTCTTACCACATGCAAACACGAATATAAATATTTCATTCTTCAAACAGCTCAAACTATGCATTTCCAAAAAAAATTTTCTAACGTTAATGAAAATTCCTTCAATCTGTATAAGAAAGTCAACAAACTTTTCATATTTTTACATTTTATTATAATTAAATTAAACTATGATTAATTTAAATTTAATGCACTAAAATGATTAAAAGCCTTTTGCAATGATATTTGTTTTCATTCAAAGAGGTTCATGAAACTGGTCTGTTTATTCCTTCATTGTACAAGCCTAACAACAACAGCCGCACAAGCTGCAGCACTTTTTTTATATCAATTTTAATTAAAATTCAAGCAAAGATCGAAGACTGGCTTCATTATGATCATGACAGGTTTGTTGTCCAGGTTAATAACGTAAAAACTATGAAATAATATAGGCACTTGTGTAGTAAGTGAAAATTAACGTCCCATGTTTTCAAAGAAACATAAACCAGCGAAATATGCGTTACATTCACATAAAAACTCGTAACGGCAAAAATTACAATAAACATTTCTTGCATGCATTCACGAACGGTCAATAAAAGTTTGGCGTGGTCATACCTATGAGATCAATAAAACATAATTTAACGGAAAAAAACTCGTTCATATGTGACCTTTAACAGCAAAACTACAACAAAAACAAACAAACAAACCATGGTTTCGAAGAAGCGAGGTAGGTTGTAGATGATGGAGAAGATGAAGATGCAAAGGACGTGGAGGTATGTGGGCTTCAAATTGCTGGCGCTACCGTAATCTTCCACTGCCCTCGTCACTGCTCTGTACCTATTCACCGTCACCAACACCTGGTCATCATTCAATTTGATAATTTTAAAAAAGGTCGCAAGAAATTAGATCTTTAAACACAATCTGTGTATATTTTTAGTTAACTGTCTTTTTTAAACTGTACAAAAAATTCGGTAACAAAACTTTACGTAGAATTTTTGCGTGTTGTTTGGGTGGGATAAAAATTGAAATGCGTGGCAATCCATGCGTGCGTAGGACCATGAAGAAAGAAGGATGTTTATGAGACAGACGTTCGCCCGTTGATCTACTACATGCAAAAACGCTGCGTGTCATATTGTTACGAGATGAAAAATGAAACGAATCAACTGCAAAAGCTGATAAGATAATTTGCCAATAATATGCCATGTATATTTATAAGAAATAATTCATAAGATAGCTCTCATATTAAATTACAAGGGTTAGTATATTTTAAATAGGTTTAAACTTTATGAACCATGTTAAAAACTTGACCGAAAATACAGTAAAACACCAACAGCAAACTATTCAGTAAGACCAACCGTGGACCAGACGATGCATGTGTGCATGATTGTTGCTGTAGGCCAGAAGATTCTTGTGTTGTAACTGCCAAACGTCTCGATGGCTCGTCCGTCAGGGTCCTTGAAGGTGCACTGGTAGAAGGAGAGGGCAGGGTAAATGAAGAAGGTCAAAAAGAGGAAGAGGAAGTCAAAGATGGCGATGAACTTGAGGAGGAGAATGGTGCTCGTTGTAGTTTTGTGTTTGGTGAAGATGAAGAAGGAGAGAGCATTGCCTGACGAAGATAATTTGAGTGATGATGATGAACATTGTTGGATGGGATGCTGAGATGATGATGAGTTTTACGGGATGACGATGAATTGTGAAGGATGATGATGACATGAGTGAGATGATGATGAGAGGTAAAAGATGATAATGAGTTAGAGATGTTAATGATGGTTTATGATTAATGATTATGACCCTCATGTTTAATGACTGTTGCCGAATTTTAAAAGTGAATCTTTATAAAACATTTTCATAGCATGTCAGCTGAATGGACGCATGAATTGTTATGTGAATCGTTTGAACCTGTTTGTGCAATACTGCCACAACGAATAACATTATGTGTGTTATTACACACATAACATTATAATGTTATGTGTGTGTGTCATTATCAATTTAAAAATTAGGCATGACGTCTGAAGTATGATTAATAATAACGAAAATAGATGCCACAATACACAATAGTCCCATTTGGAGGCTCCAATTTAAAAATTGCACTCAATCATTAAACATAACAATGCTGAATCTATTAACCAGATGTTCCAAGCAGGCAAGCGATCCCCATAGCCACAGAGCAGACGAGAAAAACAAACAACGAACAATCGTAACGAGCAGCTTCTTCTACATTTGTGGCTGAAGAGTTGCTGCTGATGTTGCTGGAGTTGCTTCTGTGGCTCATGTTTATCAAGCTGTTGTTGACGCTAAGCTGGTTGATAGTAGTAGTTGTTGTTGTTATTGTGGCTACTGCTGCTGCTGTTGTTGCTGATGTTGTTGTTGTTGTGATTATGTTGCTAGTTGTGCTTGTTGATGTCGTAAATGAAGATGTCGTCGTTGTGGGAGGAGACAACGTTGAAACCAATAAGATGATAGTCGTAATTAACAATTTGAGGCTAATTGTGGTTGATGTTGTTGACTGTATTGTTGTTTAGGAGCCTGTTTTGTTGTTCTTGATATTTTGAATATTAGTTTTGTAACATGCTTGTGAAACAACATTTCTCCTATCCAACACGTTGTGAATTCTTTTACATGATTAAAATTTCTCAAATATGTAACCAAGTTTATTGACAAATGTTTTTTTTATTTTTGCGAATTGCTCCAAGTCTACCTATCGTTTCTCACGAATTTCAATTGTTAGTAAACAAAAAAAGCTGTTGTCTTTAAAATGTTATAAAAGTAACAAATTCATTTCCCTGTTGGATATTTGCTATTATCAAAGCTAGAATTACAAATGTCTTTTCAACTTATTTTTCTTACTTTAAAAAACTACATAACATGTGCTTGGGGCACATCAAGCAACAAGAGGTAGTTCACAATGCACCATATTTGCTAATTTCAATAATCAAATATAAAACATTTCATCCTAAATGACAAAGTAAACTTGCTATAGCACTACATAAATAACAGTAATGCACACTTATAATATGCCAATAGTGTCACATTCAGTTACTCATTCTGCTGTTTAGATGGCAGTGGTTGACCAACCATGGGAGCTTGCATGCATGCACAAGCACCAATTGCACATCTCTATCGCAGGCATCACATTCGGCGGTAGGCTAGCAGACCTGATTTAGAAAGTTTCTGATGGTTTTATTGTGTCACTAGATAAGTTGTTATGAACATTTTGAAATCATCATTGATAATATATATATATATATATATATATATATATATTATAATAATAATGAAATAATATCATATATAAGATTGGTTTTTTTCAGGTGCCAGTCAGCTAACGCGAAGTTGTTTGAACTTTTAAAATTTACAGTTGGTTATAAAAATTAATTACAAATTTTACATTAGATAACAATTTATGGTTATTTTGGAGTTATATTTTTTCCAATAAGAACATTACACCAGTAAAAATCAGGACCATTCATTTATAAATCAGCCTAACGATTCAGCGTGCCAATAATGCATGTCTCCATGTCACTAAATTGATGCTTCCATTATTTTTAATACTTAAGAACAAAAATGAACGACACAAAATGGACTCGCAAGCTCGTGTAGTTTCATGATGTTCATCGTTGCCTGACTAACTTATGTTCAAAAGATGTAAATTTCATCTTGGAGTTGGTTGGTTTATATCAGGCTGCTTATGTGCGCAGGATGCGAATATGCATGCATGCGATGGTGTCTATCCAATATTCCATCTCTTTAGAGGAAACCAGTTATGCTATACGTAGTTATGCTAATGTATCTTTAATGTATCTAATGTATCGTTAATTTATATTTCAAATTTAATTTTTTAAAGTGGAAAACCATGGATGGTTTGGTTAGTACATGAATATGTTTAGCTTTGAAGTTTTAAAAAACATTATGAAATAAATGTTTATGAAGGTCATTTTTAGTAAATGGTATACAAATGATAATGATGTTTAAAACAAATTGATGTAGTAAACTTTTGAAAATTATCTTTCAGTATGATAATAACAATAAAATTTTTTTTCATTGAAAAGGGAAATAAATTTTCAGAGAAACATCAATAAAATAAAATAAAAATACATTTTATGAAAATTATCTAACACGAAATGGTAATGTATGATTTCATTATATAGCTGCATGATTATATAAGTACGCCTCACTTACTTTGTCCTTTAAATATTCCCAATGAAATTTTTTGAGTATGATTTCTGTAAAAAGATTGAAAAAAATTTTTCAATGCAAAACCTACAAAAAGACCAAAAATAATTGCTAATATAAATTTTTTCAACTTTAAAGAATATGCGAAAAAATGCCAACGAAAGTTTCAAACTGTCTCCCTTATAAATACTCATTTGGCGGGGTTGCCTGTCGTGCTGCTACGTGTATAACACAGACAATAATATGTCGTATGTAATGGAGTATGTGCAGATTGTATGGAATATCTCTCTCTCTCTCTCTCTCTCTCTCTCTCTCTCTCTCTCTCTCTCTCTCTCTGTGTGTGTGTGTGTGTGTGTGTGTGTGTGCGTGTGCGTGCGTGTGTGTGTGGCAGGATAGTGGATAAAATAAAATGTTTAGAATTGAGATGTTATATAAAAATATTTAAATTTATATAAAGTTTCTAGAACTTTAAACATTTTTATCTTATCATGACATTCAACCAAATTACTTCAAAGGTTGGAGATTGGAATACAGAATGAAAATTTAAGATGGATAGAACACGATGATTTGTAATGAAACCTAATTAAATTTTAACGTTCACTGTCAGACAATGGGGAGAAGACAGAGACGAAAGAACAATGTGTTTCTTCCCCTCTTACTCTTGCTAACTTGCCACATCTTTTTAATCAGTTATAACATTTCTATTTGCACAATATAGTGTAAATAGTGATAATGCTAACAATAGCAATAATAAAAATAATAGTGACAATAATAATGATATTAATATTAATAATAACCATAATAATAAAGATATTGTAATCAGCAATATCACTAATGACTGCTAAAAATGGCGTTAACAATAAGTTCAGCATCCGATCGCTTCAAAGACTTCAGCCTTCTTTGCAAACAAAAGTGTAAAGCATTCCATTAATTAATACTTTTGTAGGAGTGGAAAGGAGCTGGTAAACAAAACTTCGACCTGTAAATATTTTATTAAAAATTGAAATAAAATTTATATAGGCTAAAAAAATAAAAACAATGCTTCTAACATAAAATCAGACCGAGTAAACATCAAACGGTAGCAAATGAGATGGCATTGCGTTGTCTCAAAAAGGACTGGGAAGTAAAGTTTTGCCAACAATTATAATAGCCAGAAACAATAGAGAATCCAGAATTTTGAAGGGGATGGATTATTTTTTAAAACAACCACCATTTCCAAGGTAGTCATAATAAGACCTGAATTTAAAAAACCTGTCAAAAGCATAAGTAAATCTAAAATGGTTTATGTTGCATAAGCTGTTTAGAGCAATAAAGGCACATGCACTAGTTGAAATGTGTTTAACATGGTTCAAATAAAAAATAAAACTAGCAATAGATTTAAGTTTGTTTTGCAATTTTGCCCAGAGTAAGATTTGTAATAATTATCTTAGCAACTAGATTTATATCTCTCTGAACGTGCATCAGTACGCTACGAAACCAATCTTTCTTTCTTCCTCCATACTTGTGTGTAATTGGGATTTTATTAATTCCATCCTATTGAGTAAACATTCAGCAAAAAATTTCTTAAAGGCAACGTTATGGCGATCTAAAGAAGCTTGCTTGAAGAAGGCATTTAATTTAGGAATAATTTTCAAAAAACTTTTGCAGTCCAACAAGGTCACCGCTTTTCCAGTCCAGATCGTCATGCCACTGAGCCATATTATAATATATATATTTATCTCCACTTATAATTTCATTTATGTTTCGCTCAGCTTTCTTTCATTGAAACATATAAACTCAAACAAATAATTTAGATTATCAAAGGCTAAATGTTGCGAGCCTTTTTATTTAAACTTAAACACTGGTGCTGGTCAGCATGCAAATACAAAATCCTCGAGCCTGATTGCATTCGAACCATGTCATTGTTCCACAATACAGGACGCTCTAAAACGGTGACGCTGAAAATATTTTGTTATAATGATTTTTGCTTGGCACCTTTATAATTTTTCCTCGCCTACACTCATTTTAATGTTGATATGTTCAGCTAGCAAACACGTACAACAGAGATGTTATTTTTTTCAAGAGTGTCTGCATTTTGAAAAATTTATCCTTCCTTCAGATACTTGACGCTAAACAAATCAACGATGTTTAAACAGTTGTCGTTGAAATGTTTTGAACATTTTATTTTTAATGATATTTTTAGAGAACAATTTTTAAATTAAGTGATGAAAGCGAGCATCAAAATAAACTGATCTTGAATGGTTCAGTTAAGTTAGAATTCCTTTTTTACAAATATTTTTTTGTCACAGTGAATAATCATCATCGGTTTTTCAATGGAGCACATGTTGGGTGAGATATTCTTTCAATTGAGAAATGATTTATCGCGATGAAATCAAGAAAAGACTTATTTCAATACAAAAAGAAGCTATAAACAATTTTGTTTCCTTTATTTATAAACGTTTGTTACTTTAAAAATGATTGTATTCAACATTAAAAATTTGCTTATTATGGTGTAGTAGCTAAATTGAGTGATCATGCCACCCTAGTGACAGTTGAGGATGTCACGTATCACGGAAATAACGTGTGAAATGAGTTGTCAGGTTTGAAATGCTCACTTTGTTTGTTGTTTTTCTTTTCGTTTCTTATTTGTTTTTTATAATTTGTGCAAACTTATTTTAAAATTTAATTAATTTGTTTATTTGTCATTTGCACAAGTATCTCACCATCCAAATTTTCTGTTTGGGTTTTTTGGACGATTTTCTCAATGAATAATGGAAGAGGCTATTTTATTTTAAGTTCTGTCAACTGGAAATTGTTGGTGAGCAAAGATCCACAACATTTATGCACAGTTTTCAGTGAATAAGCTAACAATTTTTTGGACATTATTATGATTGGTTGACACTTTATTTATAAAGAAAACAGCTGAAAAAAGTTTCATGGAACTGTTAAAAGTTACTTCTAGTGTCCTTATTAAGTGTTAATAACGTAAAACATGCATGCCATCTTCGGACAAGAGATTCAAAGAGCAAAATTATCAAACAATTCAATTTTTAATAGTCGATATGAACAAATATCAAATTGCAAATTACTCAAAAAAAAATCTTAAAATGATGAGGTAACGTAGAGAACGAGAAACCATTCATAAAAATATTTATGTAGTTGTAACCGGTGGTAATCGACAGAGACATGACTCGCTCTGCAAGTTGGGCTCAAAACAAAAGCTTACACATCATTCTCATATCATAAGAAGGCAGGATGAAACAAAATGATGACAACCCCATAACTATAGAATCAACTGCGTGTCAGTTGATAATGGTTTGAGAAAAAAATTTCTCCTATTTAGTCGCCTCCAATGAATATCATACTCCTCACATTTTATTGTCGATAATATTTTTTTAGGTTATCATTAAATCCTTTAAAATTTAATTGGCATAAAATAAAATATTTTCAATAGCGAATGTTTAATTTTTTCTATGAATTAAAAAAATTGTGATGATAATAATGAAGATGATGATAATGATAAGGATGATGATGTGAAGAAGAAGAAAAAGAAGAAGAAGAAGAAGAAGAAGAAGAAGAAGAAGAAGAAGAAGATGATGATGATGATATTAGTAGTAATACACATCTTAGAAGAAGAGAAAATTTGATTGAGTAACTTGGTACGTAACTGGGGGACATTGAAAGAAGATGATTTGTTATTTTGCTTTTCATTCAAAACAATTTTTCTCTCAAAAATTTTAGTAGTTGAAAAAGTACATGAAGGACAAAAACCATTCAAAAAACAAAAATTTTTTAACTAGACAATATTTTTGAAATGCCAAACAGATATTTGAAATAATGAAAACTAAAAAATTTTCTTAGTGCATCTCATGAAATGTGAGAGATACGAAAAGCACCTTCTTTGATCTCTTTCCACATTCCGCTCCATTCGTTTCTTTCCTACGCTATCTTCATGTTTGTTGTATATTTTGTTGCATTGTATGCTCCATATCTGCATATTTTTTTTACTTTGCTGATATTTTATAAAAAAAAAACAATAATGGCGTGAAAACTAAGTCAAACAAATTATTTTTTGGAAATTATAATTTAAAATATTTTAGTTAATATAATTCCTTACTCGTAAGCAAATTAAGTGAGATACAAATAAATTTTAATAAAAGATCTCATAGAAATAGTTATCATACTTTTAAGCATATCTAATTTTCTTGAAGCACTTGAACTGAAAAATTATTTATTGAACAATACAATACAAATGTTTCCACACACTAATTAGCTTCATTGAGATATATTTTCCAAAAAATTAATCAAAAACATCAAATTGGATTTCAATCAATCAATCAATTTTCGTTTAGCGTCCAGAGACCCAGTTTTCTGAGGTAGGACGTTATTTTCTTAGCCATCAACTTTTTGCCCCAAATTAGACGATCAGTTGTATCCATTTCATTTAAATTTAGAGCTTGCTCGATTGTTTGTGACCAGGACTTATTTGGACGGCCTTTGGGACGTGTGCCAGGTACTTCAACATCTGCAAGAGAAGTTATGGCACTGTTTCCACTTCGTTTGACATGACCAAACCACCGCAGACGGTGTTGCCGGCATTCGTCCTTTATATCATCTAGACCAGCACGACGCAGGAATTAAAAACATCAAATTGGATTTGATAAAAATAATTGTTCAGATTTCATTAGAAAGAGCACCAATTACTATATTTTCAGTCTGTTGCGTTTGTTTACCAACGTTTGTTTTGTTTGGTAACAAAAGAGGCAAAGGCTTGGAGCATTTTGTGAAATTAGATTTATATATTTATTTGTTTATTCGTTCACTATTCATTGACCGCTTATTCATTTTTTCTTTTCTTCAGTTACTCGTCGTTTTTGTTCATTTGCTCATTCATTCATTCATCCATATAGTTCATTCATCTGTTCCTTCGCTTGTTCCTTCGTTCATTTCTTCATGCATTCATTGATTGGTTCGTTCATTCAAACCAGTAACTTTTCTTTTAGCAAACACGCTGTAATCAAGATAACTTCTTTAGGACAATTAGTTGTAAGATGAGGAGGCCTTCAGCGGCAGGTCACCAACCTGAATACCTGATCCGAACAAATATTTTTTTTAAACTCCAATAAATTTTGTACAATTCTTCAAAAATTTATTCAGCATTATTTTCACAGGACTAAAACAACTGTTAAATAAATTTAACTGTCAAAACTTCCTGACGGAGTGTATGTTTCGGAGCAAATTTTATAAAATTTATTTGAAAACAATTTTTTTCAATCAAAGAACATTTCAATTTGTAGGTATTTTTTATTCCAATGTTGAAAACAATAAAAAACATTAACATGACATTAAATTTATTTGATAGCAGAGTAAAAAAGAACATAAACGCGAAATAATAAATAATTTTAGAACGGCTGCAGTCAATTATATACTTGGAAAGTGGGAGAGGATATAACAATGTTATTTTTTATGAATGTACCATCTCGGGTACATGCAAGTGCCGCATCATGCGTTCAAAAATACGATTGTCTTTGAATTTTTGACAGACATTTGGCGCGCCTACCTTTTGTGACAACTCGCCAAAAAATTTGATTTTCTGTTTTAATTAAAACTTGGAGAAAGTTTATTAAACAACAAAATTAATTTTTGAAAGAATTAAACAAATTATAAAAACCTTGAACACACGCACATTAAATTTTTGCTCTTTGCTTATTAAGTTTTCCCTTAAAAATATGAAAAAAATTGTTTAGAATGAAATTATTTGTGAACATCTGTTTGTATTGCACTGCTGTCAAACTTAAAACAGAGTAATAAGAATGAATTTTTAAAAAGCGCAGACTTGATACTACTCATTGCTGAATGGTCTGATTTTGATCATGCCTTTGATACAGTTCCTCATGCATTGTTGATGTAGAAACTGAAACATGACGACATGACGCTGTGAGGAGAGTTTTTCAAGACGGTTTGAAAGTTGCTTCACAGAACGCAGTCAGAATGCAATCACTGCCAAATCTGTCTCCACCTTTGAATGTGTTGTTAGTGCAGTGTAACAAAATGTGTTCTGACCCTATTTTTTTTAATTTTTATTAAAAAATTTGTTATTTTTCAATTTAATTCATAAATATATTTACTTTCGGCTCGATGGTGTAACGTTAATGTGCCTGGCGAAGAGATTCCCGCTTGTCACATGCATTGCGTGTGATGCCTTGTTCCACGTGTATTTGCGTGCACTGTGTGTTTGTTTTTGGTGCCTCTAAAAAATAAAAAAATGTAGTTAACAAATTCTTTAAAAATTCAAAATGTCAGAATATCAATAATACATCCGGTAAAACTTGCACAAATAGGATAAGAGCCTGCTGGACAACATTTTTCTAGCACTGTATTATACGTTAATACATCCGCATCCGCAATTGTTAAACTGCAATCTACTCTGCTGTAAAACCTATAAAACTTACTTTCTAAACATTTTTAATGCCTTTTCTCATTTTACATCGGACGTTTTCAGAAAATGAAAATTGTTAGGTATCTATAAACACAACTTAATGAAATCTTATTGCTTGTACGCACATTTTGTTGGCTTTTATATCGTATAAAAAATAATCAGTAATATGTATATCTGACAAAATCTTATTTGTTTCAATCAGCTCATCTAGCATTTAACTGAATTTTTAAAAATTACAAAAATCTAAAAATGAAATGCAATCTAGAAATTTCTGCCGCTA